TTGCAATTTATTCTTCAGATTATTACAGATACCAAACAAAAATTTTAGCTCGATCACGCTCGTATTTCAGGTTCTTTAAACTCAAGAAATTGTCCGGCTCAATTTCCAATGATCTGTTTAAATCTGCAAGTGGTATTATTGTTTTATATCGGAAGTAGATCATTTTCTTGACATAAGGAAATTCGTTATTTGGACCAAAATTCAAATCTGCGATTCATTATATCTGCCTAATGCAGTAATGTGTATGTCACCGCGATTTCTAAGTGCCAACGCATTGTCCGGATCAATTTCTAATATACTATTAAATTCTGAAAGTGATTTTTCAAATTTATGCAAAGTATAAAAATAAATCCTCGAAATATTAACAAACACTTATTCCGTTCGTATTTGCGATTACTTGTTCAAACTCAAGACTCGATAAAAAAATATTCTCAAATTTCATTTTCAATTTGATACATATTAAAAATGCATTTTGCAACCATTTCAAACGGTTCTAATAGGTAATATGAACCTTTAGTAATTTTCAGGTTCAAGCAATTAACTTTCAATGTTTTATTTGTTTCAATAAAGTCATGGATTATGCCCTCTTCAAATTTTTTAGGATGTTTCCCATATTCCAATAACATTAGCAAAGCTTAGAATTTCAAAATAAATTTTTAATGTTTTTCTTTGATCAAAGAATTTAATACATTATATTCCCGTATTTCTCTGACCAAATAATTATAATACTTATAATACGGAATATCAGTTGGAAGATATGTCACACAATCTATTATTAAACCTTAATACAGTAATATTGACATTACTTTTTGTGAATTGATTTATCGTTATTACCGTAGAGCACTGCATACAGTAACACGGGGTCTTATTCAAAAACCTCATTTTTAAAATTGAATGTACCAGGTACTATTCACGAACCCAGTGATTTTATTGGTGGAGAAGGGGGTATTTTATGTGGTAGGGTATTATTTTCGGTGGATACTTTATGCAGTGCTCAACGATATTACTATTATATTCTATCTCTAGTCCCAATTGTCAATCGGGGCAGCCCAAATGTCAATTGGAACGTCTGGTTCTAAATTAATTATTGTTCGGCTAGATTGATATCTGGACAAATTTTCATCTGGCAAACAGCTATTTACTAATATATTGATTTATTTAGTGATCTATTACAGTAGTTACGCCTATTACAAAACCATCACAATAATTAAACCTATTACAGTAAAAAATTACAACCTAATAGTAAAAGGTTGCAACAAACCAGCATCGTTATACCTCTTATGGCATGCCGCCTTAACCTCACTTTCCTCTTCCTTTTCTTCCCTATTGACGTCATCTACACGTTTCCTACGTTCTTCTGTAAGTTTTTTGGCATCGTCCATCATTTGCTGTAGTTTTTGCATTCGTCTTGATTCTTCATCAGATTTATTATGACGATGATCATTCCTTTCATGATAATTCCGTCGTATAGGACTGCTACGCCTATCACGTTTTCTTGGGGGAGATATAGACCTACTGCGAGACCGATATCGCCTTTTTGAGTGATTATATTTGTCGTGACTATATTTGTCGTGACTATATTTATCATGACTATATTTATCGTAACTATATTTGTCGTGACTATATTTGTCGTGACTATATTTGTCGCGACTATATTTGTCGTGACTATAATTATCGTGACGACTATATTTGCCGTGACTATAATTATCATGACTATATTTGTCGTGACTGTAATTATCGTGACTATATTTCTCGTGATTATAATTTATATCTGAATCATCAATATCTGAGGATTTTTGATGTTTTTTGCTGGAACTTTTTGAATCAGCATCACGTTTTTTGCTTTTATCTTTTTTACTTTTTTTGGTTTTCTATTAAAATAAAGCACAAGAATGTTAGTAATAATTACTTTAGGTATATATATATACATATGTATTATACAAATGATAAATCAAAAATATACCTCTTTAAGTTCTTTCATTTTAAGAGGATTAGTAACAATAGCTTTAATATTAGCTTGTTCAGTTTTCTTTATAAGTAATAGGGGATCCTCACGGATTTTAGCCTGAGTATCCCTATATGTGTTTGCATTTGGATTCATTGTACTTATAAAAACATCCTTTGAATCGGAGGAGAGCTATTGATAATAGAACACAAGATAAGAAATCTAGCGATATTAAATTTAATTGATAATTTCAATATTGTAATGTTTACCTTACTCAAAGCTGTGCCGTTATCAATAAGTTTATCCACAGATTTTTTTCCCAACAAGAAATCCTCCAATTCTTGGGCTTTGGCTGAACTAGATTGATTAGGACCTGCCGCGTACATCCAGTCCAATCTTTCTGGCCCTTTCCTATTTCATTGTTAAAGAAGTATTAGTAAGGTATATTTAGAAATCATATTCTTGTAATCTCTAATAAATCTCAGGAAATATAAGATATGTATATTTACTTTCCGCCAGCACTCTCCTGTAATTTTCTCAATTCTTGCAACTGTCTTTCTTCTTCTTTTTCTTTCATTAATTGGGTTAGCTTTTTTTGTTCTTCCAATGCCTTCTGCTCTTCCTTCCACACCCGTTCTTGATTTTTAATCAAGAGCGGATGCCAGGATTTTTTCATATTCTGCAAACATTTTAAAAGGTTAGAATCTATTACAGATGCCTTAACAAGATTCAAGACGATCTAACTTACCAAGTCGCCTCCACCCATTTTGATTAAGGTTTATTGGTAGATTTGCAAAGTTAAATTAAAATTTGTTTTATAGATCAATAGAAGTTTGAAAGAAACTTTATACGGTTTAATAACAAATACAGTAATGAGAAGTTTTATTTAAAAATTGACCGACTATTCTAATTTTGGGGCTCAATTCAAAGGAAGACATTCGTATGATTGGTTAATTGTTGTAGATTTACCCGTGAGAATTAGCCAATCAAAATATATTATTTTTAATACAGTAATATCGATATTACAGTACTATATAGAAAACCTATAAAGAAGCACAAATTAATAAATACACGTAAAAGAACCTATTACACATGTTTACAGAATAGACAGATACGCGTAAAGTGGGTAAATATGATATTACTAAAAAAAACCCCAAACTTATTAAAGGATCAAGATATAAAAGATGCAAATACACCATTAATTAAACCCAGATCTACACGTAGCTCTGCTAATTCATTTCCAAAATTTGCTAATTACATAATCAACGTCATCCTGGGATAAATTTAAAATCGTTGTTGCATTAAAAGTTTTAATCCGACTTATTATTTCCTTTCCACCAATATTATTAAAAAGTATAAAAAGATTTTTAGTTCTTACTTTTCTTTTTCGAAGATTGGTCTCAGTAAGTTTATCTTGTGCAGAAATCTGTTACCTAATTTTATCATTAACTTTCGCAGTAAATGCATCTTCGCTACATGTTTTTCTATAATGATCGAACCATAATTTGATACCTTTTCCAAAAGCGTAATAACAAAAAATTAAATCATTGGTAATTTCTGATAATTATCTTCAGCATCAGTAACCTTGTCATATAATTCTCGAAAATTAATTGAGTCTATGTTCAGTTCAGAAATACCTGACTGCAAAGTAATAATATTTTCTGATGGAATTTGCATGAAAATTGGAGTAGTCAATTCTTTAATTAATTTTTTAAAAGTTGAACTACAGTATTTCTATTAACTGGTTTTACTAGAATATTTTTCTGTAGAATCACTAACCCGCTTTTTACTACTAATGTTGGGAGAATTAATTGGTGTTTCTATTGATGAAATAGTTGTTAAGATAATTTAGAAATCTTTGTTCAGAGTCTATAGGCTCGATAATTTTACCACAGTCAGAAAAAGGACATTTATTATCTTTCGTAAGTAAAAATTTTTTTTCTCGATACAATATCTATGATATATATGCCCGCATGTGAGGACTGTGAATGGTTCATAATTATCTATTATAATTTTATTATCACATTCGGAACATGATGTTACTTCTGTAACTTTGATATTTTGAACTGCAGTATGTTCAGTTTTTTTTAAAATATTCAGTGCAAAATTTTGAAGATTAGTAAGAGACATAATAATGATGAGATACAAGATTTGTTTTCATACCAAAATTTTATTATACTTAGCTTATTTATAGTATATTCTTGATCTACTACGTAGTAATCGTGAACGATTTACAAATTAGCAATTATAATTGAATACAAATAGCAATGATAATTTAATTAATATGATTCTGGTGAAAAAAATAGAATAATAGGTTTTTTTATATTTTTTATAATAAAACTAATATATTTATCTGTTTATATATGTTAATATGAAAAAAATGCAATTTGATCCGGGTTATCACAATTAATATTTACAAGTTATAAAAGAGTTGGATGGTACATCTCTAAATATATCCGTAATTCAGAATAATCCCAACCACAGTATTTTTGACATCTATTCTACTGTAGAGTATAACAAAATCCGGTTTTGGATCATATGGGTGACGCCAAGAGAAAACCAGGAATTCTAAAAATAGACTTCCATCCACAGCGAAGTTGCGGGGTTTTTT